TTTTTTTGTTTTTTAACTTTTTATTGTGAATTGAATGAAGGTTTGCACAGCAGATCATCAGTTTTACATTCAACAAATCATATACTTTGCTTCATTACATAGTTTTAATCCCCTTCATGTATCAACTGTTAACAGCACTTTACCTCTATTCACTTTTTCTATTACATTCCTCCCTGTGTCTCCTGCTACCTTCCTTTACATTTCCTCCGCTAACCTCCTTCTTGTAGTATATTGCCTGCTCTGTCTCCCATATTAACATGTGTCTACCCTCTAGTCTGTGAATAATTTTCCCTTCCCGCCCCCTGCCTCATAACTATCACAGATTGTTTCTTTTATCAAAAAACCTCTTTTTTTTAACTTTTTACGTAATTCGTCTCATACAATGTTTGTCCTTTTGCGATTGACTAATTCATTCAGCATAATGTCCTCCAAATTCAACCGTGTGGTGAGTTGTTTCACAGATTCATCATTATTTGTCTATGTTTTGTAGTGGTCCATTGTGTGTATGTACCAAAGTTTGTTTAAACATTCTTCTGTTGGTGGACATTTAGACTGTCTCCCTCTTTTTGATATGTCTCTTGTACACAGCATATTGAAGCATCCTGTTTTCTTATCCATTCTCCTCTCTTGACTGGCGCACTTAATGTATTTACATTCAGTATAATTATCAATAGGTATGAATTTATTGTTGTCATTTTTTTGTGGTACATTCTTTGCTCCACATAATTTTCTATGGTGAGTGCATTTTGTTTGTGGATTTTCTTGTCATTTTCATTTCTATTGTGTGAATGTTTACTAAATCTTTCTGATTTTCTTTTATTTTTTAACTTTGATGTTACCTTGTAGTTTATTAATTTTTTCTTTAAGGTTACCTGGTAGTCTATTAGTTTTTTTCCTTGCTTGAAACAGTCTGTTTTATCTTGAAATCTACTTGTATATAACCAACATGGGGAACAAAGGGCAGAAACAACTGTGGAACTGCCCATGGTCCAGCTTGTGCTCTGCCACTGGCCATACGGTTGACCAGCAATCAGCACCAGGCTGTAAGAGAGCCTCTGCGGGCCCTGTGTGAAAATACAGCTACAGCCCAACGCCCTGTAGAGTCCCCACCTCTAGAACGGAGAGAAAATAATCTTCTGTTCAAGAAAAAAAAAATTAACCTTCTTGCCATTTGAAAGTTCTATATCTACGCTATCCCCGTTTTTGCTTTGTGCATTGATTATACATTGATTTCTTCATTATACATTGATTTCTGGTTCACTATTTTCAATCTTGTAGGTTTATTTCATTCAATACTTCTATATCTGGATTGATTTCTAGCTGATGTTGTCATGTATGGTAATCTCAGGTTGTTGTCTGCTGTTGTTGGTTCTCAGTCCAAAGAATACCCTTTAGAATTTTTTGTTACATTTGTCTAGTCATTACAAATTCCTATAATTTCTGTTTATCAGGAAACATCTAGTTTCCTTATTGTATTTGGGGGGGACAACTTTGCTGGGTAAATGATTCTTGGTTGGCAATTTTTTTCTTTCTGAGTTTTGTATATATCATACCATTGCCTTCTATCCTGCGTGATTTCTACTAAGGAATCAGAGCTTAGTCTTATTGGTTCTCCTTTGTAGACAACTTTTTGTTATTCCCAAGTTGCTCTCAGGATTCTTTCCTTGTCTTTGGTTTTGGCAAATTTGATTATGATATATCTTGGTAATTTTCTTTTGGAATCTATCCTGTTTGGATTCAATCAGCTTCTTGTGTGCTACCTTCTCATCTTTCATAATGTTAGGCAAGTTTTCTTACAGCAATGCTTCAATAATTTTCTCT